TATAAATAAAGATGTATTGTATTGTATTGTTCTGTCAGAAATAGTACAAGCGACAATATACTAACTACTTTTATAAATGCACTTGTTTATATACAGACTCTATGCTTGTATGGCGCTATATCTCCACAGACTGATAAGGCAATGTGTTCCCTCCTCTGTCCAGGGACTGCTGCTTTCAATTTCTTCTGCGTGCTCCATTGTTTACTGCTGTGCGCCACGACTGACACACTTTGCTCTGGCAAATTGAGTCTTGTAGTGAAGTCACCAGAGAGTGGCCAGAGAGTGACAAGGGATGGAGGCCCTTCCCTCTGGCCACCACGTAGCTCCGCCCTTGGTTGCAACACAAACGGATTGGGACGCAGCCACAGATAAGTCGAAGTGACATTGGGAGGGGCGGTGGACCTAAGAACCTTCGTGAATGAATTCATTCATACTGTAGTATAAGAGTGGCTCGCTTGTGACTCAGCATCTATCACCGGCTTGGATAATTAAGTTAAAAAAATAGATAAAACTGCTGAAGAAGTTTTCATATGTTACCACAAGGGTTTTAATTAAACTTCATCCAGACTAATACATTTTCAAACTAAAAGCTAACCCAATGTGTTCTTTGAATGAGATTTGTCAACATCTGTTCCCAATAACTTTTCCTCACTCGAAGCTTTTCAATGATGACTGGTTAATTTCTTTCCCGAGCATGATCTGATAATTGGAACACTCAAAACAGGAAGTACAGTACAATCAGAAAAGAGCAGTCTGACAGCAGGAAAAAATAAACATCAAAACATCAAAATACGACAATAACCTTCACCTACACGATAGATCAATTTAGAAATACATCTTTATATTGTCTTGAGCTGTCCATGCTCGTACAAGAATTAAATAGCTACATTAGCTTCACTTGGTATGCTTGACGCTTGAAGAACAGAAGCGAACAATGAAAGTGACAATACCGTCCTTCCTGCTGCTTGACAGTCTACCACGAAGACGAAAGGGAAAACGCTGCATATTCGTACCTTATTTTGCAGGTAAAAGGAGATGAAGGTAGCGGTGTGATGCCCACAATTTTGCCGAGCTGGCGGTCCTTGCGACAGTTTGGAGGAAGGAGAGTCAAACAGGCGAAGTCAGCTAGCTTGACAAGATATCAACCAATTAGAGAACAGGAAAAAACGTTAAGAGCCAATCAGACGCGACCGTACGACTACATGGGCGTGTCGTCTGTCACGTTTCAAAACTACTGTACTGTACTGTGGTGGTGAATATCAGTCGATATACATAAGAATAAATGCACATACACGCGCGCACACACACAAAACAACTTGTGTAATTATGAAGGGTTCGGAAAATGATGGAATTATGGATAATTTACGTTTTTGTATTAATGTGAAGTTAATAGTTAATTTTATTACCGATCCAAATCCATATTTTCATTTGCCAAAACACCATTTTACAGGTCAAATACAGTTACAACACAATTATTTTTAATACATAATTTCATGAATAAAAATGTGCATGAACTGTATTTATCTTTTCAACCACTAGATGTCGCTAACTCACCGTGCAATTGATTCAACATTTTTCCTCTTGCTTTCATTCAGCCAGGCCGACTTTGAGTGAGGAAAGAAAGCGGCAGGTGTTTCGGTGTAATATCCAATATTACTTGTATAAAGGTCACTATTCATCATTATTTTCAAACACTTGTTTCATCAAAGATAGTGTGACACGTGGAAACCTCAAACGCGCTCACCTTGTAATAGGCTACGGCTGCGTAATACAAAATATTATTTATTAAATCATGTGGAGCAAAGTATGGGGACATAATCCTTTTTCCCACACCACGCGTACGTCAAATTGTCCCGCATTTGCGTTCGTTTATACCGGAAAGTAGGGGAAAAGGGCTATTATTTTGTTATTTCTATGTATTTGTTCTTTTGTAACACAAAGCAACCAAGATGAGAAAATGAACTGGCAGTTCTTTGTTGTCTCCCACCTCTACTTTGAAAGAGGACCACATCATCAGGACCTTACAGGCGTCATGTGACTCGGCATCTGTTCTCTCTTGATAACCAAGAGAGGGAGAAGGAGGGAGACCGAGAGGGGAGCCAAAGGAGAACGGGGAGAGAGAGAGAGAGAGAGAGAGAGAGAGAGAGAGAGAGAGAGAGAGAGAGAGAGAGAGAGAGAGAGAGAGAGACCGAGGGGGAAGGGGGACGAGGAGGAGCTTGTCGCTATAAGATTCACTCACACATCATCAGCACCACAAAGTCACATGGAGTCCAACCATCTATTGTTTGTTGCGTCTCTTCTGCTTTGTTTTTGCATGTAAAAACACGCTCACCTTTGCGCCCCGCTCAAGTGGAAGGTGCGCATTCACGAACCCGTCACGCTTACCCTCCAGCTCGCTCTCTGTCTTGGGCTCGATTATGGTCACAGCCCCTGCGGTGTCAAGGTGGAGCCGCCACGCGTTTCTCGGATCGGTGCGCTCCTGCAGGGGCTGGGATGCGCACCGGGCACCTCCCGCTTCCTGCCGAACTTCGGGTCTGAGCAGCGGGAGGAGGAGTGCAGCGGCGCCCCGGGGCGCCGAGTTAGAAGGACCCAGTCGACCCGGAGCAGGATGCCGGTGATGAGAGGGCTACTGGCCCCGCAGAACACCTTCCTGGACACGATCGCAACACGATTCGATGGCACCCGTGAGTATTGATGATATTCTCTGAATATAAGTTAGGTAGTTGGTGTGTTTTTTTCTCATTGCTCCATACAGAGAAATGCCACAGTACCTTAAAGATTATGAATGCACACTGGTCCATCCATTCATGAGTGGTTGGCAGAATTATTATAAATACTGCAGTGGTAGGCTAGTCTGACAAAGAAACATGCAATTTAAGGTTTTCTACGGTTGTGATATACTACAGTACAGTACAGTAAAATAAAGCCTAGTGTTTGCAGGGACGTTTTACTTGCAGTTTTTGTGGGGATTTTATTTTGCCTTTGGCAAGAGTGGTTTGTGGACAGATGCAATGAGCATTCCCTCTGTGTCCAGGCCCATGCTGGGCAGGTGGGCGGGTGCGAGATGCTTATATTGCGTTTGGGCTCTCTTCTTCTGTCCCTTCACACTTAATATTTGTGGAATTTGTGCAAATGCTGCAAAGATAATGGCCACCTTGTCTTTTCTTCACGTTCAATTCAATTTATATGTAAACATTCACTTTACTGGACAATGGGCCTCATAATCAATTTTTTAAAAAATCAGGAATTGACCTAGACAGACACTTTAGTTTGTATGCTCCAGGCTCAACTTTTTGGGGACAATTTGGGATGAGTCTGCTCTGTTCCCCAGCGCAAAAATCAGGGTCCATAGAGGCATGCTTGGATGAATTTGGTGTGGAAGAAGCCCATCATAGAAATTTGGGCTAGAGATTACCTCTAGGCGGAGCACTGCCTTTCACCCAGCATCAATAAGCATTTTTATGCCACGTTTTTACTTCAGGCAGGTGCAAAGTCTAAATATTCCAACACTTTTAAAAAGCACATTAAGATACATAAAAATATAAAAGTGTCTCATACAGTACATACACAATTAGACACAATTGTGTGTGGAGTTCTTCAGGGAAATGTTTTAAGTCCATTTGTTTTCGGATGGACAGAAATCCAACCTTTCTAGGAAGAAAATCAAGTGGTTGAGCAGAATGTCTTATTCGTTTAGTCCATGCACATTCTATGCCATGTTCATGATTGTGCACAACAGTACCCCAAAATCCATCTAAAGTACGAATCACAACACAATGAAGAGGAGATTTTCTCAGGGATTTTTTTTTTTTTTGCGGTCCATTTTTGAAAAAGATTGAACCAATGCACAAAAGAAACTTGACATTTTCCACCATTGTCATTTTCTCTTGGCAGCCTTGTGTGTTAGTACTTTTGTTCTCTTCACTTAGTTGCGTACTCTGACAGCAAGATAAGTTTCAACCTCATATGTTTCTTTGGAGATGCTCATCACTTCACAGTTAATTATTGAACGATAAAGACAGTTCTTCATCTTGTTGTCTCCAATATAATGGTGTCGTCTGCATGGGAATAAAAAAAAAACAAAAAAAGAACAACAGCGCACAAATGGATCCACCCACTGCCTGCACCACATACACACACACACACGCACACGCACACACACGCACACGCACACACACACACACACACACACACACACACACACTGTCAAGACAAACCAAGCTGGAGAGGCGGGTGGCGCGGGACCATGTCTTTGTGTCTCAAGCACTGGCTGTGTGGATCAGCACCCGTCACGTCAAGATGTGGCTCAGCTCTCTTATAGTGGCTCTCCCCCGGCCAGCGTGCTAATAATTACACATCTCCAGCAGTACCGTGTACAGCTATTGTAATTAACTGCACAGATGTCAAGAATCCATTGTGGCCCATTCTTGGCTGTCAGGTGGTGTGGGGGTGCGGGATATGAGGAGGGTGGTTGTGTTGATTGTGGGGGGCAGGGGGCTTGCTGCACTCGCCATGGTTAGTGGAGGAGGGGCTGTTCCATTATGTGTCACATTGCCATGTGGTTGTAAACGATGTGACATTACTTCCTGAAGAAAATCCTTTGGTGGGAAGGTGAAGACCAAATGTGTGTTTGACTGAAATTCTGCATCTAAATGAAAATTACTGGATTGTGTGTGTGTGTGTGTGTGTGTGTGTGTGTGTGTGTGTGTGTGTGTGTGTGTGTGTGTGTGTGTGTCTGTGTGTGTGTATACATGTTGTTGTGTAATAGTAGTTAAATAGTAGTAAAAACCTTGCGTAAAAGCCAGGGTGTGAGGTAGTGCCGTCACATCTATTTCTCTATACTGTGGGTGCGTTTGAGCCTATTCGAGCTGTCTTTGGGCGACAGGTTGGATACACCCTAAACCGGTTGTCAGCCAATCGCAGGGCACACATAGAGAAACAACAATCCACATACACTCATGAACAACTTAGAGTCTCCAATTAACCCAGGGATGGGCAATTGGCAACCTGTGGCCCTTGCCCACACTTGGAGTGCCCTACAATCAGTTTTTGAAATTAAAAATGTTTACTGTACTGCTGTTTCGCCATTTTAAAATGTAATACCACTGTTAACCACACGACGGCAGACATTGCTCACCAGCGCTGCCAATCCTGAGGCTGTAATTGTGCATCAGAGAAGAAGAGCATGTCATGGCCTCTACAACAGCGAGCTCAAAAATACACAAAGAACAGCGACTTTTTTTTCATAGCATCGACAGTTTGTTTAAAGGCATTAGGAGTTAGTAAATTAATGTCCTCCCAAAACAGAGATTTAGGTTGTTCTCAGAAAACATGGTGCAGGAGTGTGACATATGAGCAAAAAAATTGAGCGTGTGCAAAACCAGTTAATAAAGATAGTATATGCTTTAAATCAAACCTTGCTGCAGTGTGCTATCAATAAATGAAGATTGTTCACTCAACCCTTTGCTCGCTGGAGATTGTTGAAGCCCTTACATTGAATTCTTAATAGTGCTACAAACGTGTATGGTTTCTTACTTGTAAAAGGCTGCTGTGATGTACTTGCCTTACAGAGGGGAAGCAACCAAGACCAACTTTATTGCACTTTACTGCACTGTGATCACACAGGTTAATGAGTCAGCCTATTAATTTTGAAATTTGAATGCCATGTTTGGGGAAACCATGAGTAAATTTGCGTGTGTGTGTGTGTGTGTGTGTGTGTGTGTGTGTGTGTGTGAGAGAGAGAGAGAGAGAGAGAAAGAGAGAGAGAGAGAGAGCGAGAGAGAGAGAGAGAGAGAGAGAGAGAGAGAGAGAGAGAGAGAGAGAGAGAGAAAACATGCAGAAATTGAGTTCTTCCCAATGTTGCTTGGCTTGGAGATGAAAAATCTTATGCAAGAGCGTCTTTTGGCTACACTATGTGGTTGGGGGCGGGGGGCTTAACAGCATGTGGTTATTTTTTTGTAGCTGAGCATTTGATCTTTCCTAAATGTATGCGATCAATAAAATATATTAACACACTGTTGTGTCCAGTGGCAAGAGCAAAATTGATGCAGATACCCTACTTTTGCAAATGCATAAAATAACCCAAAATCGATTTTTTTTTTAACCTAGCTGGTTATTGTAACACCATCCCAAAAGTAGTTAATTTAACACAGCAAGATGGGTTGATCGATTTTACCCCAACAGGTGAGTTAAATGTTTTACTCAAGTGCTGGGTCATTAATCAACTACAATTCTGGGTTGTGTCAACTAAACGTTTTTGTTCAATATTATCCCCAAATGCCACGTCAAATTTACTTAATTTATTGGTTGTTTTGAAGTTCAACTACCGTATTTTCTGCACTAAAAGGTGCACCTAAAAGCCTTCCATTTTCTTTAAAGCTCACAGCGGGCCATAAAATCCGATGCGCGTTGTGTATGGTCATTACGGTAATATGTCAACCCCAAAATGGCTCCTTGCTGGACACATTCTTACAACTCAGAGTTCAAATTTGAGGCGATCGCTTTTGCAGTTGAACACGGAAATAGAGCAGCGGCAAGAGAGTTCAACGTTAACGAGTCAATGTTATAACTTGGTGTTGGTTAAGTGAATTGTGTTGCTGCTTTATTAAATACATTTTACTGACATCTGATCGTTGCGATATAAATCAGAGTGTAGTGTAGTGTACTGTTCTGTTGGCATTTCCTTGAGCATACCTCCATCTAGTGGATGCATTATAGATTGCGTCTTATAATGCGGTGCGTCCAATATATGAAAAAAATTACAAAGGCCATTCATTGAAGCTGCGCCTCATAATCCAGTGTGCCTTTTAGTGTGGAAAATATGGTACTGTCCTGATTTTTTTGTTCAGTAATCTATCTAAATGCTAGGCCACATTAACCAATATGCAACATGAATTCAAATACATTCCAATACAATCTGTAAGTATTATTTGCATTATACCGTTACCATTAAATGGATAAACTGCAAACTCTAAATATATGGTTGATTTGGTCACTCAACGCATATACTTTGCAATAAACAAGAATCATTACTGTAATAAAATTAGATTAGAATTATTAACATTGAATGCAAAATATTTATAAAATCTTTAAGTCAAGAAAAAGATATTCAAATCAGTCTCGGACAAAACAATTATCACTGACGGTGTAAAACAAAGAAGTAACAGGATCAGTGCATAAGAAGTATCAATTAACAGTAACATGTAGGTGAGCAAACAGCCTGCAAACACTACAAGCTGTTCACTCAATTTACAAGCACATATTGGACTATCAAGAAAAGTAGTACCTTTGGACTCAGGATACTCGTGTCATTGTATAGACAACCGTTTGTAATTATTCCCACACTTGTTAGCACTGACTGCTTTGGGTATTGGCTCTATGAGTAGTGCCTCGATGTGTTGGCCTTAGGAACATTCTCCACCATGTTTGCCCCAGGCTGAAAAAGAAAAAGAAAGAATGCAAGAGAGTAAGTGAGATATTATGAATGAGGACTAAACATGAACAAATCAAATGACTGTTTGTCATTACAATAAACATGCAGGAAAAATGCATGTAGTCCACCTATCTCCATCCCATTTGGATGGGCAAGCCAGGTTAGGGGGTCAGATCGATTTAGAAGACATCTCTTGATTATAATCAGGTCCAAATGGGTTCAAATACAAATGTACAGTAGTACTTTGTAAAA